GTGTGGTAATTACATCACAAGAGAGATGACAACAAATGCTCCTATTAGAAAATAGACAATTGTCTCAGATCTTGAGATGAAGTGGAGAAAGACAGAAAAGAATAACTGAGAACAAGGAAGGAAAATAAAGGAGTAGAATAGGAGAGTCCTATGGTGAGGTGAAAAAAGTGGAATGAAAAGAATAAAGCAATAAAAGAGTGACATCAAGTTTTAAAATTAGTTTTCATAAGCGAAACCTGTTGTTTCTTTCTTACCTTCCCTACTGCTTTATGGATACACAGAAGTATCTGAATGTTTAGGTGTTAACAATCATGGTAATAATCTTACAATTTGTAAACTTGGACTATAGTTTCTTTCCTGGGAGCTTTTTTGTTCTTAACTTTGTTATTTTGTTCACAAAGAATTCAGAGCACTCAGTGGCAACCACTGCTTTTTGATAGCTTACTCCCTATCTCATCAGTTACAGGATACCCATCTTACAGAAACTACCTTAGTAAAGCCCCAACAAGACACTAACGACCACAACATAACATTGCCACAATGGAACTGCATCTTAACCCCCTCCCAGTGTGGTTTACTGTAGAAAGAACCAACAGTGACTCATTTTGAACCTTTCTTTCATAATACTATCGTGTTTTCCTGTATTTGAAGAGATATAATTTTATTAGCTTAGAAAGAGACTTAAGGGGTTTGTTAGGCGGTTAGTTGAACGTCCAATGTCTCTGGCACTAAAACAGTTTTCCTGACAATGTATCTGGTTTCTGCTTGAAATCAGAGTAGCAGTGGGGAAAAAAATCTTATTCTGGGGCTCAGGAGACCTGCATTATAAATACAGCTCTGTTATGAATTATGAATCTCCTTTGGCAAACTAGTTTACTCTGGGCCTCTGAAAATGAGATGTTTGGTTTAAATGGTATCCAGATTCCTTCCAGTACCAACCTCCATGATGTTAAGGTCTGTTCTCCCTCTGATGTTGGCTGGTGATTGGCTGGTGGATGTCAGCTAAGAAGCCGTGGAGGTGATTTAGATAAAGTCTCCTTTCAAGAGGATGGGCTAAGGAAAGGGCTATCCATCTGAGGTTGAAGGAGACAACTCTCTTTCCTATAGTTCAATGAGCTTCCTTGCACTCCCAAAAGGACAAACTGAAATACAGTCATTTTTTTCTTCCGATTGTTATATTAATTCAATGAATAAGCAAAATGTCATATAGAGAAAGACAAATACCATATGATTTCACTTATATGTGGAATCTAAAAAACAAAATAAATGAACAAAACAGAAACAAACTCATAGATACATAGAACAAATTGATGGTTGCCAGACGGGAGGATGGGGGCGGGGGGACCGGATACAAACCAGCAGTTACAGAACAGTCACCGGGATGTAAAGTACAATATAGGGAACATAGGCAATAATATTGTAATCCACAAATATGGTGTCAGGTGTGTGCAAGACTTATGGGAGGAAGGATTCCGTCTGTAAGTTATATAAGTGTCTAACCACTATGCTGCACACCTGAAACTAATAGAATATTGAATGGCAACTATAATTTTAAACATTCTTTAAATTAAAAAAAAATTTAGGAAGTGACATGTAATGGGAAAGCCTTAGACTGGAACTCTGAAATCTATGATGGAAATCTATAGTCTCCCATAATGATAAAAACTCTATCGTTAACTTGCTATGGGGTCTTGGGTACATTATTAAATCTTCACAAGCCTAAGAACATGTACTCTAAGACCTCTTCTAATTCTAAAATTACTCCTACCCAGTAGCAAATGCCAATTTAAAGATCACAAAAATTGTACGGAGCATTAGCAATATTGTAAAATGCTTTAAAACAAGAATGTATACTTTTTAAGTTTCATTCTGGAATGCAATGCTCTTTTTAATTAAGGTATAACTGATATACAATATTATATTAGTTTCAGGTGTACAAAATAGTGATTTGAAATTTATATACCTTATGAAGAGATTACCATGAGAAGTCTAGTAACCACCTATCACCACACAGTTGTTACTGACTATATTCTCCATGCTGTACATTACATCCTTGTGACTTATTTATGTTATAACTCTAAGTCTGTACCTCTTAATCCCTTTCACTTTTTTGCCTGTTCTCCCAGCACCCAACCCTCTGGCAGCTATTAGTTTGTTCTCTGTATCTATGAGTCAAACAAGAGTATTTTAAAAGAAAAATGTGTACAAGAAAATGTGTACATTAATAACACCCACTGTTCTGCTTGATTTATCACATATAAAAGGGATCTGTGGAGCCTGATTTTCATGAGAATTAAATGAGATAAATGGGATTCATATTATTTTCTATTCTATTTTTTGTGTACTGGCTAAAATATTCTATTAGCAATTTGTACTGTTGTTTGCACAGCCAACACATTATCTCACCTTTAGAAAAAAGACACCACAGTACAAAACCAACAAATTACTCAACTAAATAACTAAAAAGAATTACTGCTTTTGAATTCCAAACATCAAACACTCCTTTTGCATAATGCTTTTAGTCTAAAGCAAATATAATTTATTACTACTTGCAAGTTTCTATATAATAATGGAGTTTATTATTTAAAGTGGTCTAAACGTTTCCATAATAATAGCAACATTTTTAGAGTGTTTTATTTAACTTGGTTATAAAATATACTCTGGGGGGAAAGTGCATAGATTCTTTGTGGGAGCAAATGCTTTTGAAAACTCTTCAACAGCAAAGAAAGGTTTCAGGACGACAACTGTCCTGTGTCGAACAATTCAAAGTGCATTTGATTTTTAAATAAATTTTTCCCCCTTTTCTTATACCTCTTATAATGAATCTAAATTTCTAAAACTGAAAACTGTGTTTCATAACATGTTACCATTTTTAACAAATAAGGGTCTACAAAGATTTTACATCATCTTTGCAAATATATATGCATATTTGGAAATAATTTAGTCTCTCTGAATTTCCTTAACACACACTACCTGAGAAGATAACGGCTTATATGCAAACTGGGACATAATTTGGCTTGATATTCATTTTGTAGGTAATCAAAAAATCTATTCAAAAAAATATATTAAATAGAGTATTTTAGCATAATTTAACAGGTTAAACATATTTTCATTAGTGTTTGATTTATTTTTAAACTCTCAAAGATCAAGTGTAAAAAACACTTTATCAAACTTCACTAGTATTAATTTATCAAATATTAAGTCAAATCTTTTGAGAACATTAAAGTTATTTTAATTATAATATTCTCATTTTAAGAAAACTATTCAACCTCTTAAATGTTAGACAAGGTCATCTATATTGGTATCTATCTTCACTATTTATATTCTGATGCTATCATGGTTTATTGATTTGAATAATTTAGGTTTTGTTTTTTTATTACACACGGGCAATATTTCTTTACATTAATGTATCCATGAAGGCATGCTCATAAGAAGGCCAGGCTAAATTACTATTTATATGCTAACTGCTGTGCAACAGTAAACAGTCATGAAATACAACTTCTTAAAGGGGAGAGTATTTTAAACTGCAGCCAGTGCCAATTCTTTGCTGTCAAACTCTAAACATTTACAGATCATAGTTAAACAGTGAAATCATGCATTAAACAAGTTTCTAAGTTTTTATTTCCTGTATTTGAAAATTCTGTATTTGAAGATTACATATGACCATCTCATAACATTAGCTAATGTTTTCTAAAATGCATGTATTTTCAAACCCTTAAAATCAGTTAAGTGTTCAATAATTTCCTCCATAATTTCAAATTATTTAGTAATTTGCAAATCCTGAATTTAAACAACTGCAAACTTTTACTTGAAGTAAAGAACAATGTAGGGAGTATGTTCAGTTCCAGAACTATGCTTAAAACTTAAAGAACAACAAACCTTTAAAGGCAGAGTACTTTAAAGACAGTCTGTGAATAAAAAATATTCTACTAGAGTAATGACCTTAAAAATGAATATGATCCTTGATGATGTGACTACTCTCACTAAACTAGAAAGCTCCTTCAGGTTCCCCTTCATCAGCTTTGCCCCAGGGTTTGTCTGAAGGCAAAAGGTAGTTATAAAAGTTTAATCCTCAAAAAATGTAGAGGATTAGATAAAAAACTCTATCTTATTTTGTTTTCTCTTTCATCTATCTACATTAAAAATAGCCTCTATCTATGTCTAGAACACAATTTTACTCCATTCAATATATAGAGCTTTGTTTGTGAGTCGGATATTGTTAAAACAGAGCTTTATACTGCAAATAATATGAATTTATCATTTATAGTTATTTTTATGCCTCTCACACTAATTATGTGATAATCTGATTTATTAATCACTTTATATTCATTATCCAATTCATCTATTTTTGTTAAGAACATCTTACAGATGGGGTAACTTAAGAGTTATTAAGCCCAACTGCTGAAGAATCACATAACTATTGAATGGAGTAAATAATTCACACCTAGGCTGTCTGACTTTAAATCTATAAAATTAAATACTACCCTTTAAAAATTCAGATTTGAAATTTCATTCTAGACCAAAAAAATTATAATCTCCAGGAGCTGTGTCCCAAATTTTGTTTTTAAAGCTGGTGGTTTGGGAACCACTGTACTACCTCCACACTACTCTGCCTCTGTCTTACTTCTATGAACCAGTCTTTACGGAAGACTCTCACAAAACAGAGCATGACAGACGGTACTGTAGAGGGTTAAAAAGAAGTAGGAAACATGGTGCCTGCCCCTGAGAAGCTTACAATCTAAAAATATACTACCCCCCCCCCCCAAAAAAATACTACCCCAAATATTGAGACTATAAAGCGATTGGACTGGATATGCTTAGTAGGGACAATTCTGTTAGGCTTTTGGTAGAAGGGAGAACAGATACTGATAAAGAAGACTAAACTGAGTACAAATGGTTGGCAGTGGAAACAAGACTTGTGGTATTAATAACCCTTTTTATTAACACAATTTTAAATGTTTCAATTCAATTCTCTCTCAAACACTCACAAAATTACTAACCTTCTACATTCATGGCTTCTCTCAGAACCTGAAGTTTCTTTTGTCTCTCTCGGATTCGGTCCAAAGCACTTGATATTGCCAAGGAAGTTGGAAATTCTCGCGTGTGAAACACAGGATCCATTTTCTGAGGGCCAAAGATATCCAAGGCTATGCTTCCATCTGAGTACCTTGCCTCCTTTTTCCTAGGAGTGGTTGAAGTCCGCACTGTGGTTGCCTCAGGGTGACAGTGTCGGTATCTGCCAGGCTCCCCGGAGAAGGAGTCTCTGTCAGCTGTGCAGAGCAAGTCCATGGACGAAGCCCAAATCTTCTTCTTGGGAAGCACATCAATGCCAGGGGTAGCTTTTTTTTCTGGGCCACTAGTGTTGAACTGGTAAGGAGAGCAGGTATTTTCAGAATCTTCATGTCCAGAATTATTATCTGATAAAATGTCCTTGAAATAATCTTCCTCATCTTGTGTGTCTCTGATGGACAGAAATCCCATAGACTTACTAAGCCCTTTGTTAAGAAAGGTCTGATGAGAGAATGGAGACTTGTGTATGTCTAGTGCATCAGAAGTAGAGCTTCTTCCTGGAATGATAAGAATCTATCATGTATGCACAGAAGTTTTTGAAAATAACTGGAATGTAACCTTACTATTGACAATGAAAGTGGTGACAATTTTCTAAATCCTCCACATGGAGAATGAGAGATGGATGAGATGGATGGGATGGTCATGGTTGTGATGACAGTGGCAGTGAAAAGAGATGCAATATTTGTATAACTTTTCATAGCCCAATGATTTTTATCTAATAAAGTCAATAATATTTCAAACTTTTATTTTTTTAACAATATCATTTGATATTCCTCAGAAGTGAATTACTGGTTTTTAAAAAATAGATAAAAGTGTCTGATACTATCAAGTTTAGCAGAATATTAATTATCCATGAAATGGTTTTGGGTAATAATAGAATGTATAGTTTACTCCTTTAACTTCAAACACATATTGATTCAAACGCGTAATTCAAGCATGCATTACTTCAATATGAAGCCCTGGTATTCTCTGGTCATTTAAATATGTTTAAAGAAGAAACAAAGAATTCTTGCTATATTCTGAATGGGGGAAAAAGATCATGGCATTTGAAATTCTTAAGTATCAAAGTTTTATTATGATTATATACTTTTTTATTGTGTTTAAATTGTGCAAAAAAGTTATTTTTTTTCATGAAAGATTATCATGTACTACATAGTTTTTTCGCTCGAACATAATGTACCAATATTTATCAATTGGAATAAAGTACCAATTCTTACTTATTCTTTAGTCCTTGATTTAGTTCAAACTAGTAAGCATTCTAATTTTCTAAGGCAGCAGTCTGTAAATGCATTGAGACAGCAAAAATACCCAACCAGAAATTAATTTTTTGAATTCATAGTTCAACAACAAAAAAAATTATATATAGGGTTCTACTATTGAAAAAAGAAACATAGCCCTAACTGGTCTGGCTCAGTGGGCAGAGCGTCGGCCTGTGGACTGAAGGGTCCTGGGTTGGATTCCGATCAAGAGCATATGCCCGGGTTGTGGGCTTGATCCCCAAGGGGGCATGCAGGAGGCAGCCAATCGGTGATTCTCTCTCATTATTGATGTTTCTCTCTCTCTCTCCCCCTCTCCCTTCCTTCTGAAATAAATAAAAATATATTTTTAAAAAGAAACATAGAAGAATGCTTTGTAGTTACTAACCCAATAGCCCATAAACACTGAAGATTTCCCATGTGACTATCTTTGATCCTTCTTTGATTTTTTTTTTTTTTGCTATGTACACAATATAAATTTATATTCTTGATACTGACCTCTTCTGGGAGCTCTAAGCTTATGTAATTGGAACTGCTACTGGTATATATCAGAAGCACCTCGAACTGAACATGCTTAAAACTAATCTTTTACTTCCACATCCAAAGATGTCCATTCTACCCCAGTTTTTCCAGTTTCAATAAGTGCACCATTATCAAACTACCTACTCAAAACAACAATACAGGCACCATCCTCAAATCCTTCATCGTCCTTATTATTCCCCATATCAGATCCACCAGAGTGTGCTGGCTATTTAAATCTCAAAGATCTTACTCCATGTGATCCCACCGATTCCAGTCATCACCCTATTCCCAATTAACATTATCACTTGACTAGATAATTGCACTAGCTTCTGAACAGGCCTCCCTGCTCTTCTACTTCTTCATCCAACCATCCTCCATTCAGCAGCCAGAATTATCTTTTTGAAATATAAATTCCATGATACCACTACCCTGCTCAGTGAGTCTCAAAGGCATATGATGGCACTCTAAATAAAATCTAGACTCTTTTTGTCTGCCACTTGAATCCTTTTCAGTTTCATCTCCACTTCCTTTAATCGGGCCGTGGGTTTTTTTATGTTAAGCTCTCTTATATGTTAGGGCCTTTGTAGATTCTTTTTTCTCTGCCCTGGAATGGTCTACTCCTGACCTTTCTCTTGGTTAGTTGTTTCTTATCCTATGGTTTTTTTTTAAACATGACTTCTTCACTGAAGCCCACCCTGACCACTACTGAAGTAGAGCACTTTCCAAGTGTACCATAAATCTCTCCCATATGTAACAGGTACATTTATCATTCTCTTTTAGGTGATTAGTATTTACTAACAATACATCGGCAGACCGTGGTATCCTAAGAGAGCCATGTCTTCTCACTAGCCATGAGGCCCAAAACTGACCTGCTAATAAGGTGGCTCTTTGATAACTACTGTTTTATAAATGCTAGGTTTTTATTGTCATGTTAATGATAGTTACTATCTTTAACTACACAACTAGATGTGTACTTGCCTGATTAACACTTCACAGGTGGATACTCTATATGGTAACACATGTAGCAATATGGTATCATGGTTGCTCCATGTTGCTGAAGCACTAGGGGAAAAAAGTTCACTAATCTGAAAATTCAAAATGAGAGTTCAAATATAAAATCTGGCTATATAAATGAGGAAAAAAACATGGAAATCTAGGCTTATTTATTAGATGCTTACGTCAACTAGATCAGTGAAACCATGTACTGTTAACACTAGTGTTATTTACTTAGTAACAGTATTTGAGACTAGATAAAATGCAATGTCTTCAATTGCTTTCCTGATCTTTCTAAGCATGGCCCACGCTATTATAATTACTTTATCTACAGGCAATAATCAACACTGAAATCATTAATTAAGTACACCTAATGACTGTGCTCAATACCCACTCTGATCTCAGGAAATGGTATTTCTCGAAGCAATGCCTTTGGATCTACTCTTAAAAGATTTCAGGTGAAAACTTCCCTGATATTTCCCATCCTGGTAGAGTTAGTACCTCCTCCCACTATACTCACGGAGCATGCTGGACCTCTTATTAGGACATTTCTTCCACTGCATTAAAGTAATTCTTTATATTATATATATCTATCAGCACTCCCACTCATTTCTCCCCTCCCACTCCCAACTGGAATATTACCATAATATAAGGGACCATGTCTTATTTGTTTTTGTATTTCTAGTTCCCAATAACAGAGATTTCAAAAGAATGTCTGTAGAATGGGTAGATTACATAATCTTTTGAAAGCTTTTAAATCAAAAGCTTAATCCACCAGAAAGAATACTGTATAAAAACCTGGGTTTTAATTCTAGCTTTGCCATTCAACCCATGAGCTTGGGCACGCCACTTAATATCCATGCTTCGTACTTCCTTCATCTACAAAAATGTGGACATAATTTGTTATGCCTTCTTTTTAGAGATGACAGAATAAATGAACTAATTCATATGAACTATTATGAGCTCTTCTAAAGAAGGGCAACATAAAATTCTAATTTTGCCTTCCTTTTGTTTCTGCTTTATTTTCCTCAGCATATAATTATCTACTGTGGGAGAATTTAAAAGTTCTTTTGAGAGGAAATAATGGAACCAGAAATCAAAAGATCTACAAAAATTTTAGGTTTATTCTACAATTTAAAAAATCACATTATTCAAAATAGAGTAAGTGATGACTAGAGGTAGATTTCTATTTCTTAAGGAGGCACTGAGTTCAAAGAGAGGTTGCAGACACTATTAGATTATATACAAGGATAAACATCTATATTTAAAATGAAACCATAAGCATTTTCCTTTTGGAGAGTACACAGCTTGCTAAAAACTAAAGGGAACAATAAATACACTTGGAAGAGCTATGAATAAACAATTTAAGAACATAAAAAGTTTTTAGTATAAAACACATTCCATTTCAATTAGGTCAAAAAAAAAAATCTCCCTGGTAAAGTACATTGTATTTTAACTATTTTTGTTAAAAAATTATAATATTATCTGTAACTGGATACCATATCACCATTTACCTTTCCCCCCACAAGAGATTCAAAAAATTCACAGCATCTCTTAGAAACTAACTTCAAAATGACATTTCAGTGTTAAAAGAGGCTCCTCGATTCCCCATCTGTCCTCACAAACGTGTTCAAGTACATAGAAAAAGAAACGTGATATTATCAATACGCCCAAGTTCTGAAGCTATATCATGCTGATCTGATCATGGTGTAGGTTTCCACCGTTAAGCTTGGCAGGAAATGTTTGCTTTCTTTCTGCTTAGTGAAGCCATTTTATCGGCATGAGCAGTATTAAATAACAAAGTGGGGGCAGACAGCCCACTAGTTTGGGCCGTACTTTCTTTGACAGATCTCAGAGGTTAGATATAAGGAGGGACCTTTTAAGGTCATTTACTTATAGATGAAAAATTGTATTGTTAAAACTTAGTTGAACAATCAAATTACATAGTTACAAGACATTATCCCTAAAATGGTTTGCAAGTGACCATTGAGAGTTGAGAACTGGCACTGCCCGAAAGTAACACCAGAATTTCTAATAGAGTAATTCTAGAATTAGTCCATTAAAAATGATTTTATTGCGTTTCTATGACTTCTTCAAGAACAATAGTACACTTGCTTAGGAAACATTCTTCCATTTCAGATTTATGAGGGTCCCGAACTCTGCAAAACATTTGGTCCAGATAATCAGTCGTCTATATTTGGTTTTTACAATGAGAGTTTCTCATGGGTTTTAAATAAGATAGCTGGGCTTGGTGTCCTAGAGAAATATTTCTTCTTCACAAGGTAATTTTTTCTTAACCTTGAAGTTTTTATATTATTAGATGCAACTGACTCTTAGCTGCTAATTGCTTCTGTCTGGTAATGGCTATAACTGGGATATAACTTTTATTGTTTTTGAGATGTGGTTTTATAAACTAGTGAAAGGTAAATTAAGAAAGCCTTTGAGCAGTACTATTGTGGGAAGCTATGGCTAAGACAAACTGGGGAATCTTCTTACATTATACTTGATCCAAAAGATTATTGTTTCTTTAAGTATCAGGAACTCTAATTCTACTCAAATATTCTGAGTGACACAACTAAATTTCTTACAGATTCTCTTGAGTTTACATATAGGGAGGACTTTATTATCCAAAAAAAGAGATAGGACTATTTTAGAGAGTAAAATCAATGGAGAGACTATTTAAAGATTTCTCTGTTAATTTTTTTTAAGTCATTACCATTAATCCTAGATTATCTGTGTTTGGACAGTCTGTTAGTCATAGAATTTTAAAAAGCTGTTAGACAATTATATTAAGTCTTTCTCAATATTATAAAAGCAAAGTCACAAATAAAAGAGAATAATACTTTTGTTTGAAATGACACATAGTCTAAAAATATGAGTCAATATGGTGAAGCTATGTTTTTCTTTTTACTTTGTACAACCTAAGGTTTCAAATGGATTATCTAAAAAGATAAATCATAAAATCATATATATTTCTTTATGAAACCATTAAAATTATATTATAAATATATTATTATATCTAATAGTTTTAAACTTTTTTCATACCCATTCAATCAACAAATATTCATTGAACACCCACAAAAATGAATGTATTTAATTTAGTAGGTTTTCTCTATCCTTAGCATCTACATGTCTAGTAAGTTTTACTTTTATTTAAAAACACATAAAAAAATAACATATGTGTATATATATATATATAATACAAGTAAATAACTTACTGTTTAAGGTATGTTATAAAGTAGGTGTAGATTCAGTTCAATCTCTAATTCCTACATCTAAAATATTATATAATAATTAATGTCTATAATAATAAGATTGAATCATTGAAGGTAATATATTAACACCTGTGAGTTTTTAAAATTTAATGAACTGAATATGGCAGGGTGATTTTTTTTTCCTTTTCTATAGATTCATAATGGATAGGGATAAAATGGGGTTGGTTTTCCTATATTTAACATTTTATTGTTAGGAAAAAACAAACTGTCTTTAAAAATTAATAATATAACATTATATTTTCTAAGTAAACAAGTGACAAACAAGCAAAAAATAAAAATAAAAAAACCCACACCCCAAATTTATAACATGGACACTTAATTGATAGTAGGTTATAGAAAGGAATTCTTGAAAGAGATAAAAGAATGTACAGAAAATAAGGAGGACAAAGAGAGAGAAGGAGGGAGGGAAAAGAAAGAAGAGAAAAAGGGGGGAGAGAGAAATAAACTAGAAAGATAATAAATAAGAGAAACAGAAATAATTTCTTTTAAATCTAATGTTTAGTTATCAAAGTATGCTGTCTCCCTGAAAGACTCTTCCAGCTTGCCAATGACATTCAGCTGTAATTTCTGCTGCTATTCAGTTCTGATGGGACACTGACTGAAAATCTGATGCATTAACAAAGTGCTGCCATTTTTAGCACCAAGGTTCACACTATATCATATTTCAAACCCCAGTATAGTTTTAAGATAAAGGGAAACAGTTTTTTACCGACAATAAGGTGTGTCTGTATATATAGGAACATAAGTACATTAAAGAAACACAAGAAAGGGTTAAAAATTCTTTTTGAATTGTAAAAACTAAGTTAAACAAAATCTGCTTTCTGTTTTGTTTTTTTTTTACCTCCACATAAACTAATAATATATGTACTAGAAAAGAAACCTTATGTAACCAGAAATGAATTGATTATAACTGATGATATGAGAGCTAAGATAACTTTTCAGAAAAAGTCATTATTCACAATAAGTAAAATAAAAGTACCAAAGCAGACACTTAACTAACTGCATCATTACAGAATTACTCCATTAGAAATGATTTTATTGCTTTTCTTTGACTTCTTCAAGAACAACATTACACTTGCTTAGGGACAATTCTTCCCTCTTGGATACATGAAAGTTCTGAATTCTGCAAAACATTTGGTCGAGATAATCAATTGTCTATATTTAGTTTTCGCAATGAGTTTCTCATTGGGTTTTAAATAAGATAGCTGGGCTCTGATTATATGATTAACTGTAAAGTTAGGCATCTTAGTTTTCTAATCTGACTACATTATCAATTAGAATGTTTTATTAGAATATATTTAAGCCATATTTACATTTACTTCTTCCCAGCCTCCATAAGACAATTTCACCCACAAAATATTTTTGTTACTATTTAGATTTTCATAATTATCAATATTGCTCAGTAAAAAGTAAAGAGAAAAAAGATAATAAAAGCCCCCACAAAAGTTCATTTCATAAATTAGCCAAGCCTGAAACTTAACTTTCATTTCACATGTTTGGAATTCCTATTCATTTCCTTAAAAAATAAATTCAATTATTATATAGAACCCATAATTATTTAATGCTATTGGCAAATAGCTAAACTATTCTTCATCAGGTTTTTTTTTAAAACATTATATAATCTAACGCAGTATGTATAACTGCAAGTCACAGAATTGGTTAATCATAAAATCAATTTAGTGGTTTGTAACTAGCATTAAAAAAAGAAATAGAATATAAAATAAAGTGTAGAAAGAATAATGTTGCTTTGTGAAACTTATTTCAGTAGAGTTTATATTCACAAATGTGTACTGTTTTGTCTTGCTTTAAAATGCATTTTTAATGTAAAGTACCATGATAAAGTAAATAATTTATATTATTGCTATAATAATGTTATGAAAAAGGCAATGATTTATTGTGGTAGTCTTGATTATATTAACAACATTTTATGCATAATTTTAATGAATTAATACATTAAAATAAAGGTAGGGTTCCCATCTGTTCCCTGCCTCTACTTTGCATACCTATATTCTAATGATTGTCAAGTCACAATTATCAGATTTTCAACCCAGGTAAGTATGATTTTGTGAAGGAAACCGTAAAATAATGTTTAAGCCAAGAAATTTCTACTGTTATACTCTTACCTGTTGGTAATCCTTTTCCTCTCAATCGGTCGCGAATAGCCTGGCTTCGATCAGGTTTTTGGTCACTGTTACAGCAAAGCTGATCTGTCTGTACATAGGTAATCAAAAATCAAGTTTGACAAAAGAATCTCCCTTTTTTGTCATTGTAATATGCTATAGAATGACATTAGTTAGACAATTTTTGGAGGGTGTCGCATTATGTAAAGACATTCCACATTTGCTATTGTTAATTAGTATTCCTTGGATAAGAATTTATGTAGCTCGGTTCTGGGCAATTCATTGTCAGAAAATAAAAGGCAAGAAACAATAAAAGACAGTCTGCTAACTAGTGAACAAAGTTAGCCAAATTAAAGTAGTTAAATTGAGTTCCATTTGAAAATAAACATTTTGAAGTTTATTTGAAGTGTTATTTTCCATCAAAAAACTGGTAAATATACTCATCAATCAAGTTACATTATAATTTTTAAAATATATTAGTAATGGTATAATATAGCTTTCACCTGACTGTTGCAATGCATGGAGGGTACTGATATGAATTATTTTCAAAAATAATTTTCTAGATTTTTTCCTGCCAGGAGTTACTTTTTTATTAGAATATATTTAAGCCATATTTACAGTTAAAGCATTTGAGAAATGCTTTAAATAAATGGACATATTGAGGGATAGCAATTAAATCTAAACCAATGCTCTTTAAAAAAAAAAAATTTTTATTGATTTCAGAGAGGAAGGGAGGGAGAGATAGAAACATCATTCATTGATGAGAGAGAATCACTGACCAGCTACCTCATGCAAAGCCCCGACCGGGGATCGAGCCCGCAACCTGGTCAGTCATGTGCTCTTGACCGGAATCAAACCTAGAGCCCTTCAGTCCACGGGCCAACGCTCTATCCACTGAGCCAAACCAGGTAGGGCTAAATCAATGCTCTTTTGAGTCCCCTTTATAACAAAATGCTCTTTTGAGTTCCCTTTATAACAAAATGTGTTAGTAGTCTTAAACTTTAGTACTTTAATCAAGGGTACTTGGTTTAAAATAAGGCATGTCAAACTCGATCTAATCCCACATTACAAGGCATGAAAAGTTAGACTGAACACTGGGCTTATTCAGATGATTATTAGAGTGGAAATTTCAAAAAATAAATGGAAGGAGAGAGAATGGTAAAGAGAAATTACTTAAATCTGGCACCAAGAACATACATACACATCTGGTTTTACACACACACACGGACGAGCACATGCACACCCTAACATTTCTCCTTTAGTGAAACTTGAGTATGGACTAAAAAACTGTTTAAGGTGGTATATTCAAGGCATTGTTTCTTACCTATAAGAAGACTTAAATGAATATATTTCTGAAATGATGTTAACATTTAAACTATGTAAATGATGTTAGTTCAGATTGCACTCTATTGTCAGTAACTGAGAAGATAAGGACACCATCTCTTTGGAAATCCCTGCTGTCATTCATTGAGCAATTACTATCAGGCAGGCCCTACCTTAGTGCTGTACATACTTTATGTCATTTAGTCCGCAAAGAACCTCATGTGATAGTGGTTTTTTGAGGACTATTATTCTCTTGTTACAGGAGAAATAGCAAGAAAATTTCTAAGAACTTTGAAGCAGCTCATCAACATTGAAATAATTATCTTCACAACTGTTCAGTAGTATAGTATGAGTAGAAGGTATGTACTATTTTTCAGATAACTAAAATTGAGGTTAAAAAAAAAAAAGTAACATTACACCAGTGGAAGAATCAGGACAAGTAAGCTAGTCTACTGACTTTTACTCTATGCTAATCAATTTTAAGTAGGGATTATGGTCACTTATAATAAATTTCACCCTGAGTGAAAGATGAAGTCATTTTATCAGCTACCAGCGGCAATAACAGCCGCAGAAAAGCGTAATGGCTAACAGCATGGGCTTGGGGTCAGAGAGATCCAGGTTGCAATTGTGTCTCTGTCATTTACCATGTATGTAGCATGGGTAAGTTATTTATTCTTTCTGAGCCTTAGTTTCATTATCTTTACAATGAGAATAAAATTAAAATGACATCTTGTAACCGGGGTTGTTATGATGACTAGATGTGAAAAAGCACAAAGCCATTTAGCACAGTGCCTGGCACAAAGTAAACACTTTAAAAAATGGTAGCTGTCAGAGTTACTTCTGTCCAGGAGATGAGCAAGAGCACTGGAAAGATGAGGGGAGCATTGTTACTTCTACTTAGTAGAAATCTGCCTCTGGAAAGCAGGCTGTCTACTGATCCTTCTATTCTTCTCTCCCACTAAACAACCCCACAACACACCCCATACCAGACTTATTACTGTTCCTCAAACACACCCTGCTCTTTCCTATTTCACAACTTTTATTCAAGTTTACTTCCTTCTGCCTAGATTACTTTCTCTAGTCTACAGGATCTAGTTCAAAGTGCTATTTTTCAATGTGGTCATAACTTGTATCCTTTCCCCTCAAGCTCTCATAGCTTTAAAAAATTTTACTTTTAATACCTTTCTTCGCATTTTATAATTGAACAAATGGTTGTAGAACTTTTATTTAGAGTTCTTAGAAGGTAGAGCATATTCTATTCAAATTTGTATCTCCTATAGTATCTAGCACAGGTTTCATAAGTAGATGAGCAATATATAGCTATTGTAATAAAATGAACTAAATACCAAAAGTGATGGAGTCTTATCTAATATGGGCAATTATCAGATGGATAATAGAATTCTGTGGAGGAATAGTTCTTCATGGAAACAGATGGAAAAATATTTCCAGCAATTTTACTATAGGAGTAAAATCAGTAAACAGGACAAAGACTTAGAGGAGGTATGGTGTGACAGAGAGATCCCTTGGACTGACCAATAAGAAACATAATTTCCATAAGCTATGTCTCAATGTTTTTTATTTACAACGTAAAGGAATTAATGTTGAGCAACATTTCTGAGAGAGTGTTACGAAAAGATCTGAAAAAAATGATTCAAGTAAATGTGGGGTATGTTTCACTTACAAGCCTATCTCTTTTGAAAGTTAATAATACAGTCTGGTGTAATAAAGACTCTGAAAAGTTGTGCAGTGAAAACACAATTTCCCTTAAACAGATTTTCCTCAAGCTTATTTAATCAGAGGAATTAAAAAAATGTTTGAAAATATGTAGGAAACTTTGGTTTGGATAGAGGTCTTTCATGGATTTTTAAAATAGCTTTATCTTTGTTTAAAAGAATCACATGCAGGAATATAAACAGACAAATCAAATACAAGTGGAGCAGTTGTAGTTAAGGAGGGGAAATAAGCAGCCAAGGACCCCACTCACTCAGCCTCTATCACCTGCATTCCCCTTCATTACACAGTTGAAAAGGCTCCATGAGCTACAGTTTACAGACCATTTACCTAGCTATCAACTGGCGAAGTGTGTGCAATTTGGATATATTCCTGCCAGGCATATGACATCCTGGTTAAGATGGCAGAACTAAACCTCTAGGGATGAGGAAGCCAGCAAGAACATGTGTGACAGTGGTAAATACAGAGCTCACCCAAAGGACAGAGACACTACTCAGGAACCATAACCCTAAAGCAGTGGTTCTCAACCTTCTGGCCCTTTAAATAAGTTCCTCATGTTGTGACCCAACCATAAAATTATTTTTGTTGCTACTTCATAACTGTAATGTTGCTACTGTTATGAATCGTAATGTAAACATCTGATATGCAGGATGGTCTTAGGCGACCCCTGTGAAAGGGTCATTCGACCGCCAAAGGGGTTGTGACCCACAGGTTGAGAACCGCTGCCCTAAAGGGTAAGAACAAATTCTCATTTAGATCTAGATCAGATTTCAAAACTCAAGGTGTATCCAAACTAGGGCAAATAGAACAGAATATGGCTTAAGAAGTGCAGAGGTGGGACTATTAGATATAGTTTGTCATTCCTGGGATTCCTCATATCCAAGAGGGAAAGTGGAGAAGTCCAGGTTTGGAGCAATATGGCAGGAATACACACATGTATGCTCTTCACCCCACCCCCACACGTACCAGGTGCTAGTGTCCAGTGAAGGAGGGGAGGATTTTGGGCTAAGGGGCCCAGACAAATAAGTGGCCATGAAAGAATAATAAAATGACAGAAAATACATTTAAATAATTATAAAACTCATTTTGCACATCAATGAGTTTTTCACAACAGACCAACAAGACAAGAGCAGATATTTTCAGCTCTAATATGCTGTGATTCTTTGACATCTGCTGAATTAAAGATCTAAAGAATAGGTTTCATAAAATCTAGGAGACTAGGTCATAGCACTAGAATTGTGAATTTTAATTATTGTTTCAAATAAACAACATTAGAAAAAAAATTCAATCTCCTGTTCCTAGTTTTCAATGAGAAAATGCTACCTATAAAATACCTTTAAAGAAAATTTTGTTATATGCTAAACTTAAAAATATGATTATATGGCTTGGCCAGTGTGGCTCAATGAATGAGCACTGACCTATGAACCAAAAGGTCACCGGCTGGATATCTGGTTGTGGGCTTGATCCCCAGTAGGGGGAATGCAGGAGGCTGCCAATTCATGTTTCTTTCATCATCCATGTTTCTACCTCTGTCTCTCTCCCTCTCCTTTCCACTCTCTAAAAATTTTTTTTAATTTAAAAAAACATAAAAAATATGACTACATGTAACAAACAAACTGCAGCTTACCCCAGAAAGATTTCCCAGAACCAGCTTTACCAACTGTTTCACGTAGGAAAATGAAGGTGCACAATTGCTATTCCTAACGTGGGCACTGCAAGCATCCAGCACAGTCCGCACAGAAACCCGCGCGTAGATGACATCCTCACACATTCCAAGCAGGATGCTGTTGAGATGATCTCCAAGCTTGATGGGCTGAATACAAAGAACAGAGAAGCCACATTGAGAGGTCTGAGTAAATCTTACAAAATTAGCCATTCTGGAAGTCACAGGAACCACAACAAACACACTTCAAATACTTGGAAGAAATTAAGTCCTTATCCAATAGTATATATTCTTTATTGCATTTTACCTTTTGATATCCCAAAAAATTGTTAGCAGGTCATTAGTATACATCTCCCAACATAGGTAGTATTATAGAAAAACTCGATGGCTTTTCTGTATATAAAGAAATGGAATTCTTTATTCAAATATTTTGGTCAGCATTTACAATATATATACCATTTGGGGGAAATAAACAATTTCCTAATATTCAATAACATGTAATATATTAAATATATATTTAGTATAGATTAATACTCTTATGATAACTTAGAAGAGATTTCAAATATTACAATGACTAAAGATCATTTAAATATGTTTTCATTATGACGGTGAAACAGAGAAGACAAAATGTGAGATTTTTTTTTACTAGCTGAATAATCTGTAGATTATATCCAAATGTCCAATTAGCATACCAAGAAATGCAAATTAAAATCACAAAAAGAAGCCCCCACATACTTGGTTGAATGGTTAAAAAAGACTGACAATAGGAAGTACTGGTGAGGACTGGAGCGTTTACTGATGGGAGTTAAAACTGGCACGTCCACTTGGGTTTAAACACGCTTTCCCTGGGGCCCCTTCACTGCTCCTCCATTTGGGCATTATGTCATGTTTCAGGAACAGCTTTAGATGTACTCTCCCTATATTCTAACCCTTCAAGTCTGTTAGAGGCTCTATCTCTGGTTTCCACAGCACCCTCCATTTTCCCTAACACAGCATTCATCACATTGTGTTGTAATTGGTTTAGTTGTCTCTTCCCACAAAAGGACTCCACAGGCACAGGCCATTCTACTCCTAGTGTCTAGTGCAGTGTCTGAAACAAGTAGACATTTAATAAATACTTCTGAATTAATATTAAATTACTTCCAAAATAATAATTATTTTTGATAGGAAAATACAAGTGAAAGTTTATACTTCCCCTCCAATTTATAATTATTGATATTGACTTTCTTTTCAGTTACCAGAAAAAAGTATAAAGTGTTAATTATAGGCTGTGATCACATTTTACATATATGTTAGGCTATATAATATGATACATGTCCAGTAATAATTTAACTTTCTTAAATACACAGTATTTTTCATGATGTAAACTGAGACCAAATCAAGTTGAAGACTATCATTCCTCTTTCGTAGACCTTAAGAAGTATTGCCCTGGCCGGTTTGGCTCAGTGGATAGAGCGTCGGCCTGCGGACTGAAGGGTCCCAGGTTCGATTCCAGTCAAGGGCATGTACTTTGGTTGCGGGCACATCCCCAGTAGCAGGTGTGCAGGAGGCAGCTCATCCATGTTTCTAACTCTCTATCCCTCTCCCTTTCTCTCTATAAAAAAAAAAAAATCAATAAAAGAAGTATAAAATTTAGAAAAAATGTTTGTAACTTCTTAATTTAATGAAAAACACACCTCATTATTTTTGTTTTTAACTTCTATATTCTTATTATAAAACCTAAGTCTAATATGTTACATCTTTGCTTCAATTACTATTTAGTACTATGTTTGCATAGGGTTTTTAGGAATTAGAAGTATTATAGAAAACTAGAGGCCCAGTGCATGAAATTCGTGCATGGGGGGGAGAGGGGCGCTCAGCCTGGATTGTGAGAGGGCACAGGCCAAGCCGAGGGACCCTACCGGTGCATAATTGGGGCTGGGGAGGGATGCGGGAGGTTGGCCAGTCAGGGAGGGACTGTGGGTGTGTCCAGCCTGTCTTGTTCAGTCTCGATCAGCCAGATCCCAGCAGCAAGCTAACCTACCAGTCGATTGTCTGCCCCCTGGTGGTCAGTGCACGTAATAGTGAGCGGTTGAGCGGCCTTAGCATATCATTAGCATATTATGCTTTGATTTGTTTAACAGCCGACCTGACACTTAGCATATTAGGCTTTTATTGTTATAAATAACAATAAAAGCCTAATATACTAATTAGACTGGACATCCTTCTGGACGACCTTCAGGATGAAACCGCGGCAGCGGAGGCTGAGACAAAGGCGGCTGCCATGGCGATGGGGGCCGAGCCCCTTGCATGAATTTCGTGCATCAGGCCTCTAGTATGAGATAAAGAGCAGAAGCAGCCCAATGGTCATCAGAATCTGAGGCCTCAGTGTTACTTTAACATCTGTGCCTGCTCCCTTAGGGGCAGTGAATTATGATTTTTGAAGTGAAAAGAAAAAAAGCAAAGAAGTCTAAACCCTACTCTGAGACTCAGGATTAGTATTCATACAGTTTTTGCACCAAAAATGATTATCACTTTCAGTACAAGAATGAATCATCAAAGTCATTTACAATCCTCCTTTATCAGTCATTAAGTAAGAATAAACAAAGCACACTCCCATTTCTCTTGCTATAATTTTTTAAGTGGCTGCACTGATGAAACCTGAGTAGTTACTGCTATGACTAAGAACATTCTAGAAATAAATAATTTCTTTAGTTCTTCATTGTTATTTCACTCTGAAAGTGTGACATTATTAATGTGAACAACCAGCATAGAAATGCTGGTGTGCCCAACAGCATGCTGTAGAATACATATAAATTTGTGAAGAACATTTTAAAAAAATTTATTTTATTTTTCAATTACAGTTTATATTCAATATTATTTTGAATTAGTTTTAGGTGTAAAGCATAGTGATTAGATAATCATATACTTTACAAAGTGTTTACCCTGATATTTCTGATTCCCACCTGGTGCTATACATAGCTATTACAATATTATTGACTATATCCCCTATTATGTACTTTATATCCCTGTGACTATTTTGTAACTACCAATTTGTATATCTTTATCTCTTCACATTTCTCACCCAGTCCCCCAACCCACCTCCCCTCTGGTAACCATCAAACTGTTCTCTGTATCTATGGGTCTGTTTTGTTTGTTCATTTATATTGTTCTTTAGATTTCACATGTAAGTGAAATTGTATTTGTCTTTCTCTGACTGACTTGTTTCATTTATCATAATAACCACTAGGTCCATCCATGCTGTTGCAAATGGTAAGATTTCATTTTTTGATGGCTGAGTAATATTTCATTGTATATATTAACACAGCTTTTTTATCCAATCGTTTTTTATCCAATGGTTCATATCTTGGCCATTGTAAATAACACTGCAATGAACACATGAAAGAGCTTTTTATAAAGTGTAAAGTTGTACAAATGTGAAGATTTGACTTACTTGGCTCTGAGGTACTTCATGATCAGCCCCCCAATATAATGTCATTCCAAGAGAATAAATATGGATCTAGGAATATAATTTTTTTTAAAAAGTCATTTTATGATAAAACAAAATTTAAAAAACTTTAAGTACTATATATTAATAATCTTTTGTTCCAAAGGAAGTATAATACATAATTTGATAAAATCATCATTTTGTATTTTTTAATAAAAATGAGAGCTTTTAAAATAGAAAATACAACTAGAAATTATTGAAACTGCCCCCCACAATTCCCCAGCCCATCCTCTAAGCAACCATTTTTATTAGTTCTTATCTATTTTAAAGTTTATTTATGCAAACTCAAGTAAAACTTAAAATACATTCTTATTTTCACCTTATTTTACAAAAGGTCAGAAACTTTTAAAATTGCTTGCATTTTTAATTTAATAATAGAGATATTTCCATATCAATGCTTAGAGATCTCCTCATGTTTTTTAAATACTGCATAGAAATCCATTTTGTGGCTTAGCACTGTCTATTTAGCCAATCTATTATTAATGGGCAATTAGGATTTTCCCAAACTTTTGCTATTACAAATATTGTTTCAGCAAACAGTCTTGTGATATGTCATTTTGGACATTCAGGTATTTTTCTTGAATTGATTCTCTGAAATTACAGATAAAGGCTTAATCATCCATAGTTTTGATACATGTTGTCAGATTTCCCTACATAGAAGTTGTATCATTTTGTCTTTCTACCAGCAATATATAAGAGATTTTTCACAAGCCTTGTTCATAGAATGTGACAATCTGAAAGTGAGAAAAAAAATTTCATTGCAAGCATTTTTTTTCTTATTATGAATTCATGCGGTAGTAGGTGGAGAACCAAGCAGGGTGAAAAAAAAAGATTACACACTTTTTGATTTAACAATTTTACTACTAGCAATTTATTATGTTAATATTCACACTTCTGTGGAATGTTGTAAGAGAAACAATATTCATAGCAATACTGAATTCTCCAAGGTTCCATATCTAAATTATTACAGCCTGCTATATATGCTATATTGTTCCAAGTTGTTTCCATAGCCTTAACAATGAAATCAAATCTTCTTCTGGTCACAATGGCATCACCATCCTCAGACTGAATATTTCTATCATAAACTTTTCTTCATTAGTCCATCAAATGAATCAACAAACTCAGTCTGCTCTGCTTCCACCGTACTGTATCCTGTATTTAGTTCTTTTCCTACATTAACCTTAGATTCCTACACAAGCTTTCAGACCACCTAGTTATCCACTTTTCTCAAACTCACCCTCTGAAATAAAAAATTCCACCATATTACTCTCCTAAAATTAGGAATAGCTCACCACTGACTCAGAAGAAAGTCTCAAGTTTTGGCATTTGGAGTCTTCCTTATTCAGATCTATAGCTTCCATTTCTTTCTCTACGCACAGCCTGCCAGGTAGTAATGCTCTAGCCCAGCTGGTCTAACCAAACATTTCTCCATCACAGTGAATCATTTCACAAACTAATAGCCCTGAGTGAAATGCCTATTTCTACCTATTTTCACTTGTCTAAGTTCTACTCAGTCTGCAAAGCCCAACATAAATACCCCCTTCGCTGTGATATCGATCTACACTAAACGAACGTGTTCCTCCTCTCAATTCCCAAAATACTTTTTACCTCTATGTAGCATTTACTTCATTCTGCCATCTATTACACATTGTTCTATAGATGTTATCAGGATCAATTGTGTAATTATTTTTTATTTTCCTTACAAGCGCAATGATTTATACACAGCATGCATTAATACATCTTTATAAACATCTATACTAATAATAGAGGAATATGCAAATTGTCTGGGATGCCATCACAGTAACAGTAATGACCAAACAGCAGGCTGTGCAGGGTGACAAGGCCAGCAGGGGGGTTAGTGAGAGACGACCAAACGACTGAATAGCAGGCTGTGTGTGGGACAACCAGGTTGGCAGGAGTGTTGGTGAGGGATAACCAAACGACGGAACAGCAGGCTGCATGAGGCGACCAGGATGGCAGGGGTGTCAGTTGGGGGCGACTAGGCTGGTGGTGGTGGTGGTGGTGGGGGAGTTGGGGGCAACCAGGCCAGCAGGGGGAGCAGTGAGGGGCGACCAGGCCAGCATAGAGGGGCGGTTGGGGGTGACCAGGTCGGCAGCAGGGGCAGTTAGGGGCGATCAGGCTGGTAGGCAGAGGCAGTTAGGGGTGATCAGGCTGGCAGGGGGGGCAATTAGGGGTGATCAGGCAGGCAGGTGAGCAGTTAGGAGCCAGCAGTCCCAGATTGTGAGAGGGATGTTCGACTGCCAGACATCCCCCGAGGGGTCCGGATTAGAGAGGGCGCAGCCTGGGCTGAGGGGACCACCTCCCCATGAACGAATTTCATGCACTGGGCCTCTAGTCAGTTAATAATGGCTCACATTTTTTCATATTTTTCTTAGTTCCTTAAAACTTTATAAAACAACTTTGAATTATTAATATAAATATGAATTTCGTAAAACACACAATCATTTTTAAATTTTTCCTCAGAGGATTGAGGTAGGGTAGCCCAAACAAAATCAAGCCAAAAAAAACTTGTTACCTTTTCGACATCTGAGAGGGAAGTTAGTGATTGATTTTGAAGAACCTCGGGTGCAGTGAATGCTCGAAGATCCTTATTGGAAATATTTTCATCTGTAAATGACACACTACCAGACGGCAGCAGCAGCAGAGACCACGGAGAAATGATAAAGCCAAGGGCAGCAGGATCAGCTATGCTTACTGGTTTGTAACCGCACAGAATAAAAGGAAAAAAGAAAGATAATTTCTCAAAATTATAATCACAGGCACTACTGAGCACTTAAATTAGTATCCCAGCCTATTCATATTACATGGTAATTGTAAAGTTACATACACCAAGTCAAAGGAGAGTTTCATATACCTATTACTGCTCACATTATTAACAATAGTGACTTGTTTGAGCTTAATTTTTCAAAACCTACATGGCAGATCTTAGAAACTATAAATAGAGAACTTCCATTGTCGGTGTAAGATTTAAACTAGTTTAAGTACTTTATCACAGTGAGATAGATAGATACATAGGCTAGAAAGTGATAAGGATCAGTAGTTTTTAAACATTTTGGGGGGATCATGGATTCCTTTGAGAATATGGTCAACACTATGATTTCTCTTTTAAGGAAACTGCCTATAAAAACAAAACTCTGTATACAAAGGAATTCATAGATCTTCTTGTAGCCCATTTATTGACCCCAGGTTAAGATTCCCTAATTTAGATTATAGTGGTCTGAAAATGATAGGAAATAATCAATTTGATAGTTCATCAGATTTTGAATTAGTAAAGCTTTCAAGTACAATGAAAGGCTCTTTTTGTGTGTCAAAAGATATACCTGTCTGAACTTGGATTTTGTTTTGTTAGCATTTGTTCACTATTTCTCTGAAATTTCAAGAAGCTTATATATTATCAAATATGATAAGAGGTCTCTAATTTTATTTTAATGTTTACCTGTATGGGTGCCTAAGAGCTCATGTTTATAAGTATTTTAAAAAATGCCTAAGATTTCAGAAGTTCTCCTTTCAAAAGTAAACCTATACATTAGACTAAACAAAACAAACTTATTAGAGGGAAATTTATTTTGTCCTCCTATTTAAAAAATAAGTTAACATAGGTTTTAAGGTAACTGTTAAGGGAACTGGATTATAGACTCAAGAAATTGCTATAGGAAAATCACAGAGGCCTGTGACCGCCAGTGCCATTATTATTCGATCTGATTGGGTTATACTGATATCTAGGTCAAATCATACGAAATTGGCAAAAGTCTAGGCATCATACAGTATCTATGTGTGCCTAAAAACTACCTTTTTATTGGAACTGAATCATTTATTCTTTCTGAGTTTTTAACCTCTCTACCTGTGCACAAGATTCTGATCGTTATGTCAATAAAGAAGTAAACTATTAAAATTCATTCCTCCTTTGAAGATTAAAAAGCCAACTATATATGTTCTCTTGCTTTTTTATGAACCTAACTGTGTCAAGGAAGAAAATGTGTTTGAATGAATCCTTTAATCAGTCAGCACATATTAGGTTGCACTGAAGCAGAGTTACAGACCAAAGGTTCACACAGTCAGGCCCATCCACTTACTAGTCTGCTAAAAAATATGGCTCACGTTTATGGCAAAATATGTTTCAATCACAGTTGGTAAGCCTAGAAAGATTGTTGCCTTGCACAGCCACTTTATACATTTTCTGTTAAACACTTCTTAGGTATCTCAGAACAATATTTTCTTTGTCAAAGAATACTACTCAAAATACTGAGGTATCACATGTCACTGCATTATAAAACAGTCTACAACAAATTCTTTTCAAATCAGCAACTAAAGGGCTTACCAGGAGACCAGTTAGGGAGGCAGTGCACTAGTATCTGGTATGAGATGATGATGGCCTGCAACCAGACTGGTAGCACTAGAGGAAGTGAGAACCTGCTAGAAACTCAATGTATTTCTGTTCAACTAGAGCAGTAGAGCCAGTGACAACAGAATTTTCTGACAGACTGGATGTGGAGCGAGAAAGAGAGGAATCAGCATGACTCCCAAGATTCTGATCTCAGTAACAGAAAGAATGGAGGACTATCCACTGAGATAGAGAAAACTACAGATAATGCAGCTTGCGGAGGCAGCAGTTTGAAGATGGTAGCTAGAAGTAGAACCTGACTTTAGGACCTATTCAGTTTAAGATATCGGTCAGATACTCAAATGGGGTGTCAAGTGGGCAGTTGGATCTGGAATTTGGGAATAAGATGTCAAGAAGACACATTTTTTGGAAGTAACTTGCCTAATAGATGCTATTTAAAGCCCCGTGACTGAATGAGACCACCAAAAAGAGAGTTATGACCAAAAGGGCATCAAGACCAAGGACTGAGTCCCTGGTGTATGCCCACACCAAGACTGCTCCTTCTCAGTCGTTTTCCCAGGCTCATCTTCTCTTGGTCATCCATGCAAGTATGGTGCTGTAATATCCCTACCACGCTTCTTTCATTCATCACCCTCAATCTTCACCCCACTATTTTAATTCATTCTTTTTTTAGCCCTTCTATCCAGTTCCCCAGTATCCAGCCCTAAACCTAAGACAGGAGTCTGGGATTCTAACTCTCATGTTTCATTCCTTATTTTGGGACAGAATTATTATTTCTGGCATACCTGTTACCATCTGAATTTATAAATTACTGGGAATCACAGATAACGGAGGCACAAATGCCTCCCAGAAGTCTAAATGCTATGTCCTGTCCTACCATCCTGGATGCTGGTACTCACTCAAATCAGAGAAGAACTTGCTATACATCTCTTCCTTATCATCCCTGGCCTCAAGACTACACTTTCCCTTGACAGGGTGGCATGGAACAGAAACTGTGGGAGGTAAAAGCAAGCCATAATTGCTTATCACTCTGAAATTACTAAGAGATTTATTCACTTACCAGCACAACCAATGTGAGAAAACATTATTCTGGGAAGAACTGTATTTGTTAACTTTTGCTGTATATAATAGGTGTTTGTTTGCTTATTTGTTTTCTTTGAACATCTATAGTAAAACATAATTTAAGCACTATACATATTTAAATACTGGTAGCCCAGTGCACAGGTTTGTGCACATTGAAAGGAAATTAATTAGAAGAAAGATTTATATGGTAATTATATTACTGCAAAAAATTACATGTCAAAATAGTATATATAATATCTATAATAATAAAAGCGTTATATGCTAATTAGACCAGACGTCCTTCCAGATGACCTTCCAGACGACCTTCTAGATGAAGCCGGGGCTGCGAGGGAAGGCTGAGTCCCGGGTGTCAGAGGGAAGGCCTACTCTTGCATGAATTTCATGCATCAGGCCTCTAGTAGTATCATAAAATTAAAACACATGTGCGATTGGCGCCAGTGCGAGCTTTATATGTATCGCACATGCGCGAGTCAACGCTAATTTTTAAATTGCCAGTGCACATCATATGTACCAGCTGGTCGGCTGAATAGTCAGACAGACATACGGTCGGTCGCTTAGCCTTTTATATATATATATATAGATAATCTTCCAAAAATTACAGGTCATTTGCTCAGAGAATCCATAGTACAGTTGGGGAGATTAAATGTATACTCGTATATAGCGAGAAAAAGAACATAAAGGTGATTTAGAGTATAGCAAAATTACCTCAACTACAATGAAAAGAGAATTAATTTCCTTTTTTATATATGGCCCTTTAGATGAGTAAGATTTGACTAGGGTCAAGGGGGAGATTCCAAAGAGAGAGAGTAAAGAGCCAAAGCAAAGGTATGTGGACAGGAAATTATTAAGTTTGTACATGGAACAGTACGAATTTTGGACAGAGGAATGGTGGAGAAGAATAATGAAAATGAGTTACCAAGGTTGGTCATATTTTGCTTGTCAACACACGTGCACACACACACAAATGACATACATATTATAATTTTATTTTAAAATGTCTTGTAATAAAGCACCTGTGACAACAAACTACATTGCTGTTGAATGGCCTAAACACACACACACAACTTTAAGTACCAAATTCTTTAGAAAACTATTAAACCACAAAATATATTTTAAAATAATTGTAAAGTGTTATGCAAATGTACAAGTGAGGAAATTTAGAATCGTGGCTAGAATCAGTCTAATTTACTTTCATTGTCTATCTAAAAGGAAGGAATTTAAAGCAAATGTATTCAAAGTCCTTCAGAGAATGCTAACAAAAGAATATTTTAAAATGGAATTCCAGAAGCTTGTAATTTAATGTCCTATAATATTTCAGTTGTGTGATGATTGCCCTCAAGAATGTTATTATTATGAAAGAGTAAATCTGATGTGAACTGATTCCAGTAGTCAAACAATTCTATTTATAGACCTTACCAACATTCCACAGAAAAAGTTGCTTAAACAGAATTTCAAGCAGCTAGAAGCAAAGCTAGAAATAAACAGAAATTTGATATGCAAAGAAAGTCTTAGAGCTTCCTTTCAATAATACCTTCAACTAACACACAGCTCCACATATTTTTTTTTCCTGAGAGATCTTGACATTTCCATTAATTGGTCCCCTATATTTTAGTTTTTGGCTTTCCATTTAAGGTATCAAAATTAGAGAAATGATCAGAACTGGGTATCAAATATAAGGGAATACTAACCAAAAGTATCAGAAAATCATCTAAAGTTTTAGAACAACAATGACACCCATTTGACCTGAAAAAATCCCTTTGCTTATTCAGGCACAAATAGAGACACTGTAGTCTTCCCATCTATATATATAAAAGCCTAAGCAAAAGAACAACCAAATGACCTGTTGACTGGTCACTATGAGTGCACTGACCACCAGGGGGGCAGATGCTCAATGCAGGAGCTGCCCCTGATGGTCAGTATGCTCCCATAGCCAACTTCCTGTGGCTGGCCAACCTCCCACAGTTCCCACCCCACCCCCCGGCTGGCCAGCCAACCTCCTGTGGTCCCTCTCTCCCCACCTCAGCCAGCTGGCCTCGATCGGGCCGGCAGCCAACCTCCTGAAGTCCCTCCTCTGGCTGGCTGGCCCTTATTGTGACTGGACGAGATGGCCCTGATGGGCCCCATTCACTGGCCAGGCCGAGGGACCTCACCCATGCACAAATTTGTGCACCAGGCCTCTAGTTTTATATATGATATCAGGGTTCTTGGCAAAAATCTATGCAGAGGCCACAGTTTCAAACTCTGAAGGATTTAATGAAGTCACATTATA